CAAATTAACGCGGGTGAAACCGCAAGGGACCTCTATTTGTGACATAACTCTAATTGTTAGATTTATGGTATCGCAAACGTTTTTGTAGATATTGGTATCCTCTGTAAAACTTTAGTACATCACTTTGCTCTATTATCAATGACTTCCGCAGCGTACGCGATATAAGGCTATTTTTTGGTATCTTTTACACACGTTGGGTTACATTATCGAATTTTTCATACGGAACCCTAACTTTTGTGAAAATACACTATAACCTATATTAATCAGTGATAATGTAGCATTCAAATGGTGAAAGAATTTTCAAAATTATTAACGGTCCAGCATTGTTTGAGCCAATTTGTTACAATCAAACTTACATACAAATCTTTCCTCTTGATAATATTAGTATAGATAACATGAATGAAAACGAATTTAAGTGCCTTCTTCTTTTGTAATATTTTTCCTCTGTGTGTTGTTTTAAAACGACGGTAGTATAAAGTAGGTTTTGAGGAAAATCTTGTAGTGAGTCATTCTTACAAGACTGACGTAAAACTGTCGGGGACTTTTTTTTTAAGATCATATTTTGTGTAACTTTAACCGTTTACGCAACGGCCACTCTCAATTGGAATAATTTTCCTGTTTTTGCAACATTTTTCATAGCAGAGACAACTACTGAGTAGTATATGCGCCAAGCTTGCAAGCCGGAGCAGCGTCTAAATTTGGTCATAATCGAAAGTAAAATGCCAGTTTTCGTAGTGAAATAATACTACATTATACATATAAAAAGGACACTGGAATCACATACCTACAGTAAAACCCGCTTAGTATGATATTTTACATAATACTCCCTCCGTTTCCGTGGGCCTAGGCACGTCTTAGAGTAGGCAGGCAGCGGTGACTGCCGGTCTTCGACGGCCCTAAGGTGGTCTGGCTGCGGCCTGACCAGCCGCGCGTCCTAGGTGCCGCTCCGGCATAGGCCACCACGTCTGGGGACTGCCTAGTACCCTAGAGCAGTCCCACTGAGGCGCGTCGCCCGGTCCACTCATTGGGCCGGGCCTGCCCGGGGGCGTGCTCGGAGATGTGGCGCACACAGGTGCGTCGGCCCCGAGACCGCCTCCATATGGGCGTAGGAGGGTACCGGGGGGTTTTAGTGGAGTAGGATCAGTGTGGCCTTCCGCACTGGTCCTGCTTGAGTAGGGTCTGCACTGTTTCCCGTGCCGGCGAGTCCCACACACGCCGTGCGCCTAGTCAGCGTCACGGTATGGTGCGTAACAGCTTTTCCCCTCGTCACAAAAAAAGAAAAAAAAAGGCACGTCTTAGAGTAATCGACGACGAAATCACCCGCTCTTATGCGCCTGCAACTCCTCCCACACATGCCACAAATACCAACACTACACAGCGAGAAAAACTTGCACACTAACTTAGCATTAGGCAGAAGATACCGCACCCGCAGGATTAGAGTGCGAAGACCCGGTCTACACACGACACGCTGTTCCAGGTACAGGTACGTACCTGGGCCTTTTTCCCCGCCCCCCACGACAACGGCTAACTAGAGCCGAGGTCCGAGTCTCAGAGACGCGTCTAGTTAATCCGAGCCCCTCAGGTTCGTGTGGTCTAAATGTTCCAGACGGAGAGGAGACTCGCCCCGTGGGGAGATGACATCCGCCTGAAATACCTCTAGATGCACTGGCCAATTCTCGGCTTGAGGTCTCCTTAGGATCTGGCCGTCTCTAAAACCGGTGACGCTGTAAAGGTCACCTGCGACCTAGTTTATGTCAGTTCCTGCAACTTGAGACATATAATAATGCATTTCCTAACGCTTAATACGTTTGTCATTTCGTTTAAAACGCCAATATATGATAGCTAACTATCCTTGACTATTCTTGATTTAAAGCATTGCAGCGTCATGGGAAGCAACAGCACGTGAAACCATTATTATTCGATAGATGTTAATGTGCACTTCATTTAGTTGAAGATAAGCTTTTGCTTTAAAAGTCCTTGCTGCTAATTTTTAATCGACTTCAAAAGAGGAGGAGGTTCTGTGTTCGACTCTTTATTGTTTTTTTATGTATGTTCACCGATTTCTCCGCCATTGTGGGCCGATTTCCAAAATTATTTTTTTATTCCAAAGAGTGCACTTACGAAGCGGTCCGATTGGAACCAAGTCAGGATCTAAAGGTGGAATCCGTTGAAACCGAGGGAAACCTTCAAATTTCAAAGGCACGCACGATGTTTTTTTATGCATGTTCACCGATTTCTCCGTCAATTGTCTGTCCACAATTTCCAAAATTCTTTTTCCATCCGAAAGTTTGCACTTCTGAGGCAGTCTCATTGTAACCAATTCAGAATCTGATGGTGGAATTCTGCGAAATCACGATACTTTGTACATCTATCTATACTTATAATAAATCTGTAGAGAGGTCAATTCTGTACATGAAATATATTTTCAAAATAACTATCAGGGGGTGATTAATGATCGATACTGATGCCAAAAATGCAATCAGTAAATTTTTTGTCTGTCTGTCTGTCTGTGTGTATGTTCCTTATAGAAACAAAAACTACTCGACGGATTTTAACGAAACTTGGTACAATTATTCTTCATACTCCTGGGCAGGTTATAGTATACTTTTCATCACGCTACAATCAATAGAAGCAGAGTAGTGAAGGGAAATGTTGGGAAAACGGGAGAAGTTACTCCATTTTTTTTGCTTCCGTCGCGTGTGCAGCCTTAATGGTCAAAATTACATAGAAATCATGTATGACGGAAATATTCTACATAAAATTGTCTAAAAAATATCCCGCAATAGCATATGTCTATCTTTTATGGTTGACTCACAATAACACGTGTAACTCCTCATAGCTTAGCAGTTCGGAGCATTCTGATTATATTTGTTTACTCTTACGTTTATAAAACTCTTACTCATCCATAATTTTAAAAAGTTAACATTATTACCTATTCAATAAAAAAATAATCATAGAAATCGGTATAGAAACACCAAACTTATACATGAAATAAGCCATCGCGTCTTCGCACGTGAATACTAAATCGTGCTATAAGGATTATTTTTGTGTAACGGTTGAAGCGCTCGACACGGGTCGCGGCGGCGGTAGGTATAAGAAGAATGTCATTGTGTATAATACAAGCCTGAGAACAATAACTATAGTCTACACTTCAGCTCTACACCGAAGCGAAGCGAGGGCGGGCCACTAGTCTTAGAATAAAAACCAAACATTTGTAAACAAAATTAGCAAATAAATCATGTAAAACGTGTAGAAAATGAGTACTGGAAAACGGAAATATGAGAATTTTAGTTTGGTTATAAATACAGGTAATAAAAATGACCGTTATTATCTATATATGTATATAAAAGCCAAAGGTGACTGACTGACATAGTGATTTATCAACACACAGCCCAAACTACTGGACGGATCGGGCTGAAATTTGGCATGCAGGTAGATGTTATGACGTAGGCATCCGCTAAGAATGATAGGGAATGAAAGTTTGTATGAAACTTTGTCAATTTTAAACCGATCGGGCTGAGACTTTGCATGCAGGTATAAGAAGAATCATAGATGAATGTCATTGTGTATAATACAAGCCTGAAAACAAAAACTGTAGTCTATACTTTAGCTCTACACCGAAGCGAAGCGAGGGCGGACCGCTAGTATACATATAAATGTACACCGATAAGATTTCTGGTCCAATTTGAGTGATTCTTCTTTTGTTCAATTGCAGGCACTTGCCGTTTGGTTCCATAAAAGAAAAAAATATTTTGTTTATTGTTTACTTGGACGATGTAATTTTCACTAAAATGGATGAAAATATTTTTTATACAAAAAATAAAACCGACTTGAAAATCAAAAATGGAAATAAAAAGTTAAAAATTAAAAAAATAATTCCAAATCATGAACCAAATATTAATTTTTAGTTTTTAGTTCCATTTTCGATATAAGACGGTTTTTTTTTGTTTAAAAAAACTTCTTAGATCATTTATTTGTGTGATGAGCACAGATTACATTTTGTTACTAAGCCGTGTTTGTTTATGTTGAAGAGATTAGCGTACCCGGTTTCACACAAGCTATCTGAACTGCAGACCGAGGTCAAACAATTTGATATTTCAAACATAGAACTTTTGTTTCATTATCAAAGTTGCGATATTTTAATATGGTTTAAAAAATATGCACGTAGGTAGACGTATAATAAAAGTAGTATTTATTCCTAAGTCATCAGCAGAAAACACCACCAAAAGATGTGGTTTTAAATAAACTATCTATAGTACTTCCTTTTAGACGGAGATGTTTTTTCAAATTCTTATGCATTTTTTTATAGATAGGTCCGACAAATGACTCCACCCCACCTGATGTTAAGTGACGGTAAATTCCAGAAGTGAAGATAGCTGGTACAGCAGTTCTACCTGCCACACCAGCCATCCTAACCTAGCCGACCTGCATGTTGCTTCTTCCTCTTCTTCTTCATTTTGCATTTTTAAATTCCGATAGACGAAGTTACGGGTAGCAGCAATAGATTTTTATGTCTGAATTAGAGCGGCTGTCTTGATCACAAAAGATACAGATAAATAACACAATCTGCTGGTACCTTTGCATTTCTGCTAGTGAATAAGTTTTCCAGGAGTTCCCACTGCTGGGCCACAGTCTTTCCCTGTTGATGGCATAAGGAGAACGGACCATGACTCACCAGGCAGATGCAGGCCCAGTGCAGCTTAGTGGTTACTAACGACTGAAGATGCAGCTAGGACCACCTTAACGTGCCTTTTCAACAACGGAAGAGCTATCGGAAGAGAATTTGATATATTTTTGGTCAACCATCCAATGAATAAACGGCCATTGCAAAAGTTGCCCAACTTTCACGATCGCAGACCGAACACACTAACACACGAGCTCCTCATCATACGATTATTTAACACTATCGTTTTACCGTGTTACCTTTACATATAATTCTTAGGAATGATAATTGTAACATAAATTGTGTGTTTTTTTATACATAAAAAAGAAACATTTACCAAAGCTAGTGGCAGCTGATAGGGGTGTTGGTGGTGCAAATTCCAGCCCCGACTGCGGTACCACCTCGAAGTCCTGGACCTCACGTTTCAACATCCTCTTCAGCTCTTCCATCCTCGGCAGGTCACATTCTACATCCACCAGTATGTCCGACTGAAGACGGAAGGAACTTAGTTTAAAAATAGTGATTTTTTTGACAATCTCTTGTAGACAGGGTCTTTTTAAATTGAGAATGAGAACATAAGTGTGACTAAACAAAGAATTGATTAACGTCTAGACGCCTTATCTCATACTTTGCTCAGATGTCGATAAAATCGAAAATATATCTAGGGGTCTGTCCCATATCTGTCCAATTAACTTTAAAAAAACTGTAATAATACGCTTTTATATTGTTAAGCCCTATTCTCTAGTCGGCAGTTAAGATCAAAAGCAAAAAAATAACACCGAAATTGTGAAAAACGATGGTGATGTATTTTGCGTAAACGATTTTTTAAGTTATAAGAATGACGAAAGACGGGACCCGTCTGCTGCCTGGTCCGCGCGGAATTTTTTCTAGTTATATTTTCTTTAGATTTAAACATCAAGCAGTTACATGCTTTAAAAATAATAAAAATTATAATTATAAGAATGTTATTAAAACGCTTTGGGGGATAAACTTCAGAAATATTTAAAATTCGCTTCTTTTGCAATTTTTTAAATTTAAATAGATTTAACTTGTTAAACAAAAAAATGGGCAGCGATATCGATAGCAATGCTGTTGAAATTAAAGTCAATTAATATACAGATTTTAGCAACTTAAAGTTGTATTTTGATATATAAAACTTGTTTGATATGTTTGATTGAAATAATAATATTACCTGAGGTAAAACACACAATCCTTATTTCACGGCTTTATATCCTTTGCGAGGTTTGCAAAGCAAAGCATTTGATTTTAATGAAATGCTAAACAACATTCACGTATCATAGATGCGCCTGAATGACTCCTAATTTAGCTCTGATTCAGTTTTAGATAGTACCAAAAAATAATAACACAATAGCACTCGGATTGAAACTCTATTGAATTTGACTTGTTAAATGCTGCTTTGAATCACCCATTATACATATTATTTTTTCGCAACGCCATTTAGGACTTTTAGCTAAAACCTTTGAATCTATCATTATTACAGTTATCTACTATCATTTCCTGATTTATTGCAGAAAAAGTTTTGTGACCTGAAGCTGCCTTTTTATCACATGAAACGTACACTTTTTACCCTGCACATGATACGGCGTAATATTGTAGTAGGTTGTATTATTATAAAGGCTTAAATCAGCAACAAGTATGAGTTGCCCAACCTCGACTTCGAGTTACATACAAGACATATGAACACGTCTATTTGAAAACAACTCGTCAAATTCAGCATTTTTTTTTGATTTGTTCGTTAATGTCAGAGTTTTTTTTACTGAAAGATTCCGAAATCGATATTGGAGCTTAGCTAATTACAATTTTCTTTTGAATTCATTTTCACCCATGAAATCAAGGCGGTTCGTTAGTAAATTATGAAAGACAAAGGATTACTTGAGTACTCATAGGGTAGATGGCAGCCATAGGGCTAGCCTAACTTGGCTGTTATCGTTTTTATTTTAATTTTGTTTATCAGGATGAGACTTGTAAGAAAAATCGTGTTTAGAAAATCCAGTGACAAAAGTAAATAATTTAAGTAGTTTAGGCTTTTATTTTTTTGAAATACAAACCTAGTATGTAATAATCATGTTAATTGACATATTATTTTATTTTAATTTTATTTTATTGACATATTTATTAATTTTAATCACTGACAAATTTAATTTAATTTTATAAATGAATTTCCATTTCTATTATATTTCTACTGTTAATAAGATCAATTGAGTAAGTTATATTGTTAAACAAATGGAATCAGATGACATTTATGCATAATTTGAGATTAATTTGAGATCTATTTAGTTTAGGATTATTGCAATACCCTAACTGGGTTCTTGTTTGGAATGATATATATATATTTTTGTAACAGCATGTAAACAGCAAGAATGCAATAAATGAATAAAAAAAAATGAATTTATTTGGGAAAAATTGCGTTAATTTGAATACATATATTGTACACATGCGAAATTAGGGCGTCACTGGTAGCAAATAATTCTAAACGGAAAATTAGTGGCAAATAATAATAATTATTATTAAAAACAACATGTTCAGGACTCATCTTTTTAACTTTTGCTTCTAAATCATTCGCTTGCGCAAGTGATCAGGATCTCTTATTTCTTCGACTAGCTAAAGAGGTTTTGTAAATAAAAAGTTGAACAATAATATTTTAGACAACATTGAGATACATACAGAAGCTAATGCCGTCATCGATTCCCGGGACTCTATATGGAGAACATTGATGCCCAGGTCTTGGAATACAGACAGGGCGCGCACGAGACCCCCAACTTGATTCTTTAACGTGAAAATCACTGAAATCTTCTCGCCTTCGGTAATCTGCGGTCGCTGGGCTGCCATTTGCAATTCGCCCAGTTTGGGGTGATGGGGCGATTCATTTTTCACTTGCCATTCGACACCATTTCTGTAGAGCCACAGTCCGAGTAGACCTTTGCCTGACCCACTCATTTTCTTTTTAATTAGAAATTAAAGTTTAAAGGTATTTGTGAAGGGGATGATCCGTTGCAACACCTACGAGATACTGTGCCTTCCCAGGGGCTGTGCTCGCTTTATAAAGAGAAGAGGCGCGGGAGATCTGTCGGAGGGTGGGTATATTTGATTGGCTGAATCAAGTGTTCGGAGCAACTTGGAAAACGTTCACTTACCATAGCGTTAAGTCACGGACACACTTTGCCCTTTAGTTCAGGACTTATTTTATTTCAACGCTGAGCTTCTAGTTTTTTTTTTTCTTTTCGCTAACGAGGCTACTCTATTGCTGAGTTATAGAATGAATGTGATATTTAAATAAGAACTACCTCAATATTTTTAGTTATAACTTAGACCTTTAGTAAATGCTAGTAATCAAGGGATATTTCCATTTTAAAAATAGACTTTTATAGGACGTACAGACAAGCGCCGCATGTATAATTTTTAAATGAACCGTTATCCACTGAACTGGATTTAAATGAATTAAAATAATTATTTTTCACAAAATGCGATTACTATTCAAGAATTTGCAGTATTTAATTTATAATTGAAAAAGGAGCAATCGACATACTATTAAATACACTATATTACTTATAACAGCTGTTTAATAGAATAACAAAAAACTAAATCAGTATTAAAGCCAAGCATTAGTGTAAAAAGTTGAAAGTTGTCGTCGATCAATGAGAGCTTGAAGTGCTGCGGCGAATAAAAATCTCCGTAAAATGTGTATCGTATGAAGTATTAAATCTAAACGTAGTGTAACACCCACATACAAGGCAGCGTCAGTGTGGGCCAGAGAGCCGCCACCACCTCTTAAGCGATAGTCACTGTATTTATTACCATTGTTTAGCGAAAAGAGCGTCCCGTGTCATTCATTATCTGGTCGAGGGAACCGCCATTTATTCAACCTTGGCCTGGTACCCACTAAAAATAGACCGATGGAAGAATGCCTGCCTACACCATTGTAGAGTTCACGAGCCAATCATAATATTTGAAGAGCAGCTATACTGGCTTGTAAATTAGCGTAGACCAAAACTGCACTCTGTTCAACTATTTTTAGATTGTTTCCTTGGAATTATGCTTTAGGTTCATTCGATAGGAAAGTATCGTTGTGCACATGGACATTATTAATTTGTTAATGTTTTGACAGACGGGCGATATTATTTGGTTGTTACAAAATAATGTTTATTTTAGTACTGAAATTTTATAGATTCTTCTTCACTAAGCATAGTGAACTTTTAGCTGTTAGCAAACAGCTAAAAGTATTGAATAAGATACATTGGTAGTATAACTGATATATCCCCTATCCTTTGTCTGAGTGACTTTCCACGATTATCACAAAGGAGCAATGAAATGACGTCATACTCACTTCACGCTCATTTAAACACACAGCTCGTTACGTTACTGTGATTGATATACAGTTTTATTTTTAACCCCCGGCGGAAAAAGAAGGGTGTCATAAGTTTGACGTGTCTTTGTGTCTGTATGTCTGTCTGTAGCACCGTAGCTCCTAAACCAATGGACCAATTAGAATGCTTTTTGAAGTTATACTTCTTTAGGCGCGTTATGAAAAAATTATGAGAGTGAAATTTTAAGATGCGCGCGCATCACTGTAACACAAAATTTTAACATAATGAAGTTGGTCGCGACCAACTTCATGCGTTACTTTTGTGTTTACCGCACATTAAGAAAATCTACCAACAAAATAGAAATAGAATCTCTATTTTGTCGGTGCTAACGACTGCATTGTGAAGGCCTATCAAAAGTATTTATTAATCTGGAACAACGGAACCAAAGCGCGATTCAGGAGACTACAGCGCCATCTCTTGACCATTGGTGTAGTAGAACCAAAAACCACATCTTTATTTTTTGTAATAAAGTAACAAAAAGTATTTATTAATCTGGAACAACGGAACCAAAGCGCGATTCAGGAGACTACAGCGCCATCTCTTGACCATTGGTGTAGTAGAACCAAAAACCACATCTTTATTTTTTGTAATAAAGTACCAGTTATAGGTATTCATATTTATAATATTTATCCACATGTTTCTAGTTTGTATATTCGGAATACGTGTCTGAGTTTCATACAAGTGCAAATCACATATGTTCTAATAACTTATATTCAGTAGCAATTTTAATTGAATATTTTGATTATTTATTTATTTTTTCAAATTAAAACTGAACTTTATTGACTTCGTCCTTTTCCAGACTTTTTACTAATTTATTGTAATTAATTATTTGCATGCAATTAAAAACTAATTTTAAACGATGCCAAAGAAGGATAACTTCTCACGCGCCTACATAAGTACACGCACCCATTTTATTTTTATTAGAAAGTTGACATGATCGAGATGGTTCTTAGCTATTTATGATGTTCTGTTCAGGTGTTTGAAGATCATTAGCACATTTCCACTGTGAGAAAAGGTACTTTAATAGTTACTATTGATTTGGAATTTGGTGCACTTTTAATTTGGTGGTATTTCCAAGACCTGGTAAGCTTTAGGTGATGGTGCAGCATCAAGAACTAAACTGCTCAGTAGATGTAGGGTGTTTGGTCTCATAAGAATGAACCCAATGAATATATAACTATTGACGACGTGTTTACTATTAATTTTAATAGATTGGTATAAAATATTAAAATGGAAATTAAAAAAATAATCTGGTAAGTTATTATTATACATAATAGGCAATGCATTTGACCACAATCTAGCCTGATGGAGAGCGATGATAAGACCTAGGATGATACACGCCTGCCTAGAAGATGCCTGTTAACTGTGGCCTTGAATATTTCCAGGTTATATTGGTCCGGGAAAACAGACCTCGGCAAGGAGTTCCACTCACTAGCCGCCCTAAAATATAAACAGTGTTGGCCATTTAAATTTAATATAACACTGCTTAGTAATAGTTAGACCCAGATATCGTCATGTCGGGGGACTATTTCAATAAACAAACTTGAACAGTGAGCATATTATTATTATTATGTAATTTAGTCTACAGTGTGTAAACTGATTTGGATGATAACTCATAGGTGCTGCTAAGAACATTCTGGGAACGTGGCTCGATCTCAAAGCTCCATTAGATAGTTTTATTTCCGTTACATAAGATAAACATTTTATGAAACGGAAATAAAACTATACTTACTAACGAAAACATTATCTGTATGGAAGTTTTTTCTTTTGCTTTTATAATTATATTATGATCATTATGTAGGCTTGTATGAATGAAATTAATTAAGATATCTACCAGAATACCCGGAAATTAGAACACAATGTATTTTTTAATAAATAGCACTCGCAAGAAACTGGGGCAAGTCAATCTTAAAATTACCTAATTATGTATTACTAGTGGATCATCTAGTGGTGAAAAGCTGTAGTGTAGGCAATTGTGTATAATACAAGCCTTGAGACTTGTATTATAGACAATGAATTTCTTATAATTACCATTTCTGAGCTTCCGTTGCGTGTGCTGCGTAAACGGTTAAAGATACACAAAAAACAGGTAGTACGAAATTGTTCCCCTTTTAAAAGTTCTAACAAAAAGTCTTCGACAGCATATGTCTATATTTTAAGTTTGATTCATTATAACCTTTTTTCCTCAAATTAACACGGGTGAAAGCGGTTTCACCCTCTAGTTGTGTAATAACTGTAATAGACGTATGGTCACGGATTTTTTTGTAGATATTAATGTCCTCTATAAAACTTTTTTATACCTAATTCCGCATTGTATGCGATATTAGGTTATTATTTGGTATTTTTTGCACACGTTGGGTTACATTATCGAAAATTTTCATACGGTCCCTAACTTTTTTGAAATACTCTATAGCCTATTGGCATCAGGGATAATGTAGGATACAATCCTGTGAAATATTTTTTCATATCGTTCCAGTACTTTCGGAGCCTATTCAATACAAACAAACAAGCAAACTATAAAAAAACCTTTCCTCTTTATAATATTAGTATAGATATTAAACTAAGTATTCTCATACCCAGAATGTATTATTTCTCTAGAAGTTTCTTTTTTTGGATATTTAATAACAGTTTTTCTCCCAAAAAATACTAAGTCTGCATATTTTATCAGAGAGTATTTCGTTGGTGCCAATTTAGTGAAACCTTTAACTGACAATATTATAACTGGTGAGTATCAAAGTAATCAGTGTCCAGAAAACAGGCATAGTTCGTGATAATTACTATGAAGAGCTTCGCTTAACACTTTCAATAAGGTTTTCTTTATTTGTCCAACGTATATTATGTTTACTACCTATTAACATAAATATATTTTGCTTAAAATTTAGCTGTAGCTGCCGTTACTATTACTGCTAGTTTGTAATTGGAAGGCCTTTATGAAAAAAACCAGCAAAGCAAACTCTGACAGTCTGTAATGTTACTTCATAAGTTCAATTTTATATGTTCAAAGGAACTCGCATAATAATATCTCCTAACCTTGCAATGTGTTCTGAGTTGGGTTTTTATCTGTAAAATATGAGGTCCAAAGCTCATGGTCTACTACTGTACTATCTTCTCTATTAATAATATCTTTGTTGATGCTGTTAACATGTGTAACATACTTACCTTTATGTGTATACTAGCTGTGCCCCGCGGTGTTACCCGTGGTTTATTAGGGACATTTTCCCGGAGTAAAACGTAGCTTATGCTTTAAACCAGGATGTCAGCTAACTCAACACCAAATTTTATTAAAATCGCTGCAGCCGTTTAGACGTGAAGGAGTAACAAACATACACACTCACACACTCACAGACTTTCGCCTTTATAATATTAGTGTGATTATAGTATATCTCCCGCCCCTACTATATTACGTATATTATAGTAGGGGAGCCCAAGCGGGATTTTTTGGATAAACTCAAGCGCAGTAGATTAACATAAGGAGGGCAACTTTGCACCTTGTGTAGTACACCCACTGTACCTGAGCCCTCTGTGTAGGGCCGAACGCCCTAGGGGGCAGCAAAAACAGAGGTTCAACAAAGGGCCACGCCTTTTGGTTGCGTTCAAATTGTCAGTCTTTTGAAAAGAAGCTACTGGAGGGTTCGCGTTAC